TTGGCACATGATTTTTCACCACCCTGTACACCACCCTGTGAGAAAGCTCCACGCGGCAGCTTTGCATTGGGGCTTGGGATGCTTTATTAAGGCTGGGAGGGGCATCCGAGGGAGAGAAGAAGAAATATCAAGGGCCTGAATAAACTGCTGAAAGAAGATTCCTGAGTTGCGTCTTCCTTGCGGGCAAGGGGTCGCGACATTAACCATTCCTTCTTTCCAAATTATACATTACAATAGAATTTTGTAATTTTTCATTTGACAATGAATTTCATTTGAATCTAGTAAATGGACAAAAATGGGAGTCATTCTTGCATTTTACTTATGGATAATAATTTCTTAAGCTGCAGTTATTAAATAGTCCCATTTCCTCCCACCACTTGGTATGTCCCCTGTTACACATCTAATTTTCATAAGTTTTTGACATATTTTTATTTTTGTCATTTTGTCTGTCTTCCCATTGGTACCAGAATGCCTTGATTGCTATCGATCCAGAATAAGATATGATTCTGTTAGATTAAGCCTTACTTCATCTTTCTCCATTTTTAGTAGAATGGCTATTTATAATACTTTACTTTTTATACATATTTAAAAATGAGCTTGTCAAGTTCCATTAAAACAGAAACAAAGCTTAGAATTTTGATTGAAGCTACTTTGAAACTATGAGTTGCTTTGAGATCATTTGGAGAAAATTTAAATCTTTACACTTATAGGTCCTTCTGCAATTAAGTTGAGTCATTTCTAAGAAAAAAACAGATCTCAGCCAGAAATGCCTACTACAAGGTCACAAAAATATCTTGCCTGGTATTCTGGAAGCTTTGTAGCTTTTGGAATTTCCATTTCAGTGTTGTGTATATGAAGTTAGTTTCTGTGTATGATAGTTTACAAGGGTCAAATATCATATCCTTTTGTTTTATATTCCTATAGATTTCCAGTTGTTCTAGAATCACTTTCCCTTTTAAGTTCCCTTTAAGTTCTTTATTTAGGTTGTAAGAGGGTTTAATGTTCAGATATACATTTTCTCGAGATGGATCTGTGTAGTAGACAGTGGCTTTTATGAGTATGTAGATGTCTTTAAACCAATTCTCAAGATTTACAAAATGTAGAAAGAGGTTGCACATCCTGAATGAGGGTAGTGATAATAGGAAAATAATAAAAATATGAATTATGATTAACAGAAATCTCTTCTCTGGGATTTGAGCCTATAGACCCTGCCCTTCCCTATCCTTCTTTGCTTTTTTCTTTTCTTTTTTAGTTAGATCAGGTTCATCTTGGCATCTAGTTCCTTCTTAGACACTTGATCTGCACAGATACCTATTTTATGGGTTTTAAAATATTCATATCATCATCCATGACTTTCAGCTATTAATGATGGGAAATATTAGTGTCTTAAAACTAGTGTCTTAATATTTGCATAGAGTTTTATATGTCACAAAAGTGGTACATACATTAGCTGATTGATAGGTCGGGCATCTAACTGATCTCAATTTATAGGTGAGTGAAGTGTCTGTCAATGAGGTTTATACATCTTTCATCTCGATGATTTACCTAAAAAGGAAATGATACCTTTGTTTTCTTTTGTTTACCAGTATGATGAGTGTACTCCACTGAAAAAGCAAAAAGTTATAAAATGTGCATGTTGTTTAAGGGCCAAAGATAGATTTGAGGCCAAGCCCTCTTGCCTTGAGTTTTTGCTTAACCTGTCTTAACCAAAAGTATCATCCATGTTGAATGGTGGTGATGAAATCTATATACCCTGTAGGAAGAAATTAAAAATATATATATATTTGGAAATATTTTAAATTGTATGAATATTAGTTTTTAGAGTTCATGACTTATTGAGAACAAAAAGTCACTTTGAATAAAGTCTGTGTGCAAAATTGTGCTCTCTTGTTAACTACCTGTGTATCCACTTAATTGATTTGAGTCTTAATTTTTCTCCATCTTTAAAATGCTCATAATTAAACAAGTGCAATGGCACATGACTGTAATCCCAGCAACTCACAAGCTCAAGGATGGAGGTTCACAAGTTCAAGGCTAGCCTAGGCAACTCAGTGAGACTGTGTCTCAAAGAATAAAAGAGTTGGGGATGTAGCTCATGGTGGTACTCCTGGATTCAATCCTCAATAATTCCCCCAAGTCATCATAATATGTCAAAGAGATTTTGTATACATTAGAGATAAGGATGTAATGAACACTGTGCTTGGTGCATTGCACACTTTCTGTATGTTTCAGGCTACATGACCAATACTTAAAAATATGGCCTTCAACTTTTTTCTCTATGGTTTAATTATAGCTTCTGGTTGAGGCAACTCTGTAGCTTTCATTTTCAGTATGTCTTGATATTTACTAACGTGAAGTGGTTGATTTGTGTGTTCCTGATGGCACCATTTACATAGACTGCATGTGTGGAGACATGCAGTTTGGGGGCCTGTTTTTTTTGTTCTCAATATGATCCTTATCTGTTAGCTCTTTCACTTTCTGGTCCGAGTTCCTCCTGTCACTGCCTCAGGTCTAGGCTTCCCATTTAAAGCAAAAATTTTAGTCATGTATATCTTGAAATTTATATATATTTAAATAATATATAATTTACATATCAGTTTATAAAATTATAATATTACATATTAATTTATATACACATAAATAATATTTATATATCCAAAACTTGCTCATGAAAACAATCTGATCAGTTAGATCCACTAATGTATTCATATGGAAATTGGTTTCTCTTCACATAATTTATCATCAAATTTGGGACTCTGAATGATTTATATTTATTTGGAGAAAAGTGGATTAAAAAGAAAAATCTCTAATTGCAGCCTGAACTGATAACTTTAAGTCTGATTTGTGGTTTTTGTTTAGAGTTTTGGTTTTTGCTTCTGTGGGCATTAATGGATTTAGGTTCCTTTTGTTCTGTGTCACTTCATGAGTGGATAGAAACAAAACTGTTCAAATGTAGCACAAAAAAGAATTTTTAACAATAGCATAAATAATGGATTTTCCATGAAAAGGATTATTTCTAATTCTTTGAAAAATACCAGTGGTTACATCCCCAAATCATCTGGAAATTGTCAAGATAAAAACTCATGCTTTTCAAGAGTTGAAAACTTTTGTTTGTACTTTGCTTTACACGTCTTCACATGTATATTTCAACATATATTCTTGATTCATACATATTGCACAAATTGCCTTTATGAATATTACCCAATGTATGCCTTCTGCTTTGCAGAATGGAGTTAAGTTTGAGAAATGATTATGTGAAGAATGTATTTTTTAAAAATGGAGCAAAAACCTCTAAAAATAATTGAGAAAGAAAATCCCAACAAGGCCATTGGGAAAAGACATAAACAATGAAAAACAAATTGTCAGTCCATTTGTAAAAAATGGTCAAGCAGAAAAAAAAAAAGGACAAATATAAATTAAAACATCGATATCATTTCTTCATTTTCAAGTTGGCAATAAATGGAACAACAGTGTCAATGTTGACTAAGGTACTTGGAAACTGTCACATATTGTTAGCAGGAATATAAATTTTAGCCCAGTGTGAATACAAATATAAATCCTTCCTGAGAAGAAATGTGGGGGAAAAAAGTCTTAAAAAGTGGCAGTTGGACTGTTTTTAAGAAGCAATTTATATTTTATTCTGGTACCTCACAGTTTTGGGATGTAAGGACTTAAGGAGGGCTAGACAAGTCAAATCATTGGCTCCTTCTTCTGTATCTGAGACAGAGAAATAGATTTATTTACTTGCTTCTTCTTATTAGCTGCATTTCTTCATATGTGTAAACAGTGACTCCAGGTGTGGAACCCCTGGTGTGTTAACAATTATAATATTCTTTGAATCAGTGTTCTACTGAGTGTCTAAAACCAGTGGCTTATGCCTACAGTCCTTAGGAAAATATTTTTGAAACTCTGAGGCAAAGAATAAACAACAACAAAAAATAACAAGCAAAATAACAGATATACTCCAAATACTGGATCACCTGCTGAGGTATTTCTAGGGACTTGGAACTCTTTCACTGGTAAAAAGATTAAGCTAATGTGTGAAAATAATATTTACCTCTTTTGATGCTTGACTTATTTCTTCTTAATGGAAATAATCAAGGAACTTAAGTTTATAATTTTGTTATAAAATGATTTTGAGTCATAGAACATGATATGCAAAGAATGGCATTTTGTCATGCTGAGTACTTTGAAGGACATGGAAAGGGCCCCAGAGCAGTCTGTTCCAGCCCTTTCTCCTGCTGTCCTTTTTGGAGGGCAGTCCATAGACACTAGAGCTCCTCTCCTCAGTAGCCAGCCACAGAACCCAAAATGTCCCTGTTGTCTTCCCCAGGCTTTCTTTGTTAGAGATGGCCATAGAGAAATTCTCTGACCTATCTTGTTGGATAGTGGATCATGAAACCCTCATTCTGGAAGTGGTCTTGCCCTATACCTGGGAGGAAGAAATTCCACACGGAATCTGAACAGGAGGGCCTTGCTAGGTTTTCCCCTCTCAGCCAATTACCATTTCTCTTTGTGTCCAATCACATTTCTACACTGCTGTGTATTCTTCATTAAATCAAAATATACATTTTTTTTTCTGGGTCTTTGGGTCTATATATCTAAAGGCTCTCCTTATGTGAATTTTTCTGTCTTTTGTGATATTTAGGATCCAATCCAGAGCACCCTATCCCATCCCCAAGTGCCAGGCAAGTGCTCTAACAGTGTAAAAACTTTGATTAAATAAGTTTGCTCTGTAAAACTTTGATTTAAAAAGTTTGCTATGCTTTTTCTCTTCACTTTATTTCAGCCCTGGCCCTTATGATGTCACACCTTTATGCTCCTCAACAGTGTGTATTATAGGAGGGCTGTGAACTATCATCAGTCCTTGAGTTATTGATTGATTGAAAAATGAATGACTGCACTATCAATGTGTACCAAAAATAATGTACATTAAATGAAAACTTAACAGAGGTTCCAAAATTAAATCTGGAAAAGTTTTCTTCAAAGACAGACAAAAATAATTTGTAATCACTTTATTTCTTTTTCAAAATACATATGAAACAATAAAATTATATTTCAAGTGCTTTTCCATTTTCTGTTACAAAAAAATCACAAACTATACTTCATAACAGCTTTGAGGTTTCATTGTTACGTAATTCATCTGAACCTGACAAATATGTTCACACATTCCAAAGAAGACATTGTAAAAATACTGCAGTGTGTAACATCTTTTAAAGGTGGTTGCAAAAACATTTGTTCTAAGTTATACAATTATATGCTGTCAAGTTTCACAAATGGCTGGTTACCAGGTACAAAAGCCAGAAACATGAATTTCAAAAGATTTTAAAATTTTTGTTCTATACTATGGAAGTCAAAGATACTGATTTGAACAATGGCTAAGTATTAAACCACAAACTTCAGTTAAAAAGTCACTTATGAACAATGACTGAAGAATATAAAGAAAGATCAGATATGTTGGATCTAAATTATTTGATGTGTGAAATGAATTGTAGTAGTTCCTGCCAGTATAGAATAATTGATAAATATCCATTTTGGGGGAAGAGGGATGAGTGGAGTCATCCCAAGTACAACATGAGGCAGTTCCTTTCTATTTTGACTTCTTTATTCTTCATTCTGAAATTATGGTTTCACTTAATTGCAGTCTGTAATTTCTCTGCATTTGCAGATAAAGTCAATCACTGCTCTTAGTTGGAGACATTGATAATAAGCTTATGCCAATGATACCAACTTGGGTGTTGGACTTTTTGTTTATCAAACAAGGTATAAATGAAAATATTTTATATATTAGAGTTGTTCTACCTGCTTTTTATTTATTCAGTAATAGAGTTTGTGAAGCTCTTCACACTGGAGACTACTGTGTTCTTTAAATGGAAAGCTTAAAGAATATTTTAAAAGAAAACAATAGAAATTATAATGAACCCATTAAGATGATCTACATAAATATAATTAGGATAAAATATGCAGTCTGCAATAGAGAATGATTATTTGACCAGTTTGTACATGATCTTAGAGATCATAGTTATTTTCGAGTCCACAACTTTATGTTAAAGCAAAATCATAGCCAAATAACAGTCTCTATAATGTTATTCAGATGGGGTGAATACAAAACAATTTAGAAAGGTGACAAAGATACCTAATGTTTTAACCTTCCAATCTTGAGGCTTACAGGACAATTTTGGATTCAAAATGATATACACTAATATTCAATAATTTGTTTTTGAGGGAACAAAAACACATGAAATTGAGTAAAACTCACCATCTTGTACAGTAAATAAACTCTGTGCACAGCAGGTGCAACTCAGCAAAATTTCAGAAGAAATGACCTATTTTTACACTCTGGTAATAAGGTCAGGCATAGTTCAAATCTTTGAGGAGGGTTCTTATGGTCTAGGTGAGTTTATAGAAGAAATTATTTTGGGTTTGAGATTGAAATATTTCCAAATAAAATGTATCTATAAATAACAAACCCTTTCTGGTGTTAGTATAGGTAAAAACAGAATTGATTTAATCAATTATTCCTGGCAGGAGTATATTCAAATCATCTCAGGCATGAGAAGCCTCTTTTTTCTTTCTTAAACATCTATTTATTTTTCAATCACTGTTTGTACTATTCAAAGTGTTTGAATTAAATAAATCATTAAATCCCACCTCAGCCCTTACTCTGAGTCTCTGTAGCCTGATGTTGTCAGGCTACCAAATCAAATTTTGGTTTCTTGTTTCATAATGAACATGGTAAAAATGAGCATTTACTTTGAAGAGAATATACTTTAGCCAAATGTTAAATGCCACTGTTCAAATACACATCTTTTTGGTTTACTATTAATGACAGATGACAAGTAATTAATGATCAATACATCTTTTATTCAATTACAATTTATTTTAATCAACAGAATACTGAATAAATACAGAAGTATCTTAATGAGAGAAAATTCTTACCTAAAAGGGTAACACTGAATAACATATTGGAAACAGCATTTTTTTTTAGTTATCCCTGTTTCCTATGAAAAACATAAACTCATCATTTTCTTTTAAATAATAGATCCTTACAGCAGGTTCAGATGAATCATATCCTGAGCCATGTCACTGAGTAACTATTAAATGCTGTGTCATGGAATTTTTTTCTGTCCACTAAAGTTAAAATACAAAGGAGTGTTTTTATATATCTTAATATCTTTATTTCCATAGGCTAAAGATCTTTGCTTACCTCTCATTTAAATATGTAGATGCCTACTTTATTATATACTTCCAGGTCTTTTGACTCATTTCTCCTTGACAGCAGTGCATTTTAGCCTATAGATTATAAAGGTCAAGATCAATTAGAGTATCACAGATTAAAGGGAGCTGCTAGAAGAACAAGATGAAAAAGAAACAGATCCCCATGTTTTCTTCAAATTTAGTTTAAGAGATTGAATGACTTTCTTTAATTCTTATCAACCCCATTTTTCTTTTTAAATTATCAGGTAATTGAGTTACCTGGGTATAGTTACAACTTATGTGGCAAAGAAACAAAAGCAAACAACAAAACTAACCAACTCTATTCTATGAAAATGTACATTCTTAAATGATAGCAAGCAACCTTTTTGAAAAGGTAAAGAAATTGCTATGTGTTCAGTAATGAGATGTGTCCCTTTGTCTTTGATTCTTTTGGGCACTCGTTCTGAAATAAGTTACCTTTTTTTTAATGGATAGTAAAAATTGGAACAGGGCTACAAGTCCGTTTGTTTCATTTTTTAAGTAATTAATCATCAAATGAAAACTATAAGAGATTGGTAGCTCTTTATTGAGCTGCAAAGTTTTAAAATAATAAACATTATAGGAGAATAAACATAGCTGTAAATGTCAATTAAATACCACAACCAAATAGGTCCAAATATATTTGCTGTAATATAAAACCTGAGTCAGTATTGATCAGTTGTGATCTCCCTGCAGTAACTAGAACGTGCACACACTCCTCAAGACTGCACAAGAAGGTGAATGCTTGGCTCTGCATCCCCATTCCACCCTGGCACTAGTCCTAATGTTGCTGAACTGTGGTGCATTAATACACATAAAATAAAGTCCAGACACAGGGATGGCCTGGTTTAGAAAATTAAAACTGCCAAGCAAAATATTATTAGAAAACTAGTGAGAAAAAGGAATCAATTCTTCAGTTTTATGGGGAAAAAAACATATACTTTACAAACTTTGATATTTTTTTCTTATTCATTTTACTGTTTCCCCTGATTGGTTGTTGATGAATCAGGTAAAAACAAAAACAAAACCCAAATAACTAAAAAGGACATTGGCATGTTATGCTAATGAGTCAATACTTGACCTTTTTCCTAGACTCATATTTTGGTAAATCCCTGAATAAGTCCCTGAAATTAGGTAGTTGATATATATGTAAAGTACAACTTCATAATGTGTCAATACTAACAGTAAAGTTTATCCTGCACAAATTAGTGGAGGATATTTCTAACATCAAACTTTATTTCAAATACTGAAACTAAAAGTATTTCATTCTTAAATCACAAGCTGAAAGAAGATAGGTTAGGTGTGTATGGATATGGAGGACAGGGTTTGTTGTCCTAAATGTGGTAAGATTACATTTTCAGAACCCTAACTCTCCTTTTTCTCTATCAATTTGTGGTGAGCATCCCTTATATGTGACATGAAAGCAGAGTTGTGAATTTCTTTCCCACAGTGTCTTCCATAGGGTTAACAAAGTACTCTGGCATTATGAGTTTATTCTAATCCCTACGGAAAAAAGGTTTTAATTTTTTAAAAAAATTTCTTTAAAAACTTATTTTAATCTATAACCCTCATATGAAAGTCTCCTGATTAGCTGTGAGTTCACATTTATTTCATCATAAGCATTGGCTTTTTCTCCTTAGGGAACAAAGGAAAGTACAAGCTTTCAAGAATTAAGAAGTCCTTAAAATATGTTTTTGGGTGAAAATACATATCACACTCACAAAGGAAATATGACTGCTAATATACTATAGGCTATAACTATATCTTCTAACAAAATAATTGTCTACAAAAATGTCAGTATATTAAAAGTATATCCTCCATTGGATAATTTCTATTTCTCAGTAAAAGAGTTCCAAAATTCAGATGTAATTCTTCAGTCATTCTGACTATAAGTGGTTCTTTTAGGCCTGATAAGGTGGCCAAGTATTTTGAAATAGATTTTTCTATTTTCTTCAATGAAAAAATATTAAGTAGGAATTCTTGTTTTTTTATTTGTTAGGTGACATAGGCAGTTTTGAAAAATTTTAGGCAGACTGTATTTTTCTTTAAAATGTGAATTTGAAAAATATTTACAACTTAATTGACCATAATTCCAACTTATAAGAAGCCAGCAAACAAAATTTCAAGGCTTGTAAAATTTTATGTTTTTTTTTAAAATATTTATATAAGGTATTTTATGAAAATAAATTTTCTCATCCTGATGAATTTGTTTTTGTATTGCAAGCATAATTTTTCTTGCTTTTATTTTTAACCTCTATTTTGGATAAACTTGAAATATGCATTATGTGTAGTGCACCACATCTCAAAAGTAAGGTTGGGTAATTCAATACCTTCCAAGTGGGGCCTGGAAATGAGACAAAAAAAAAAAAGTTGACCTGATGAAAAGGAAATTTCTGTCCTGTAAAAGTATTTGCATAGTTTTTTCATCTAGTGGCCTGTCCTTAATCTTTGTGAAGGTAATGCCTTTCATAAAAGGACTGGAGTCTGGGCCTTTAGAATAAATTTTTTGTTTTACTACATGTTGAAGTTACACTCTATGGTATTTTTCTATAGTTTGCTGAGAAATAAGTCATGCTTTGTTTAAGAAAATACCCAATTCCGATGATGAGCTTCTGATTGGGTTTAAGAGTCACCATTACTGCATATAATCTAAATGACAATGAGCACAGACAGTTTGTTGAACCTTTGGTGTCTATTAGTGTGATCTATCAGAAATATTGGATATACATAATAGCTTCATGTCACACACAGGAAATACATGTCACAGTACTTGAAATCTTACAAATGCTTGAAAAATGAACTGATGCTATTCACTTAGGAATACCAATGCTACAGTTGAGATTAAGATTATTAGAATTTTAAAAGTATCAGTTCAACAGTACAACAGATCTTTGAACTAATGTGACAGTAAGACATTATAAAATGGTAGCCAAAAAGGCTCAACCTCCACTTTCCAGCTACTAAATATCATTTCTTGAGTTTATATTCAAAATTCTTTAAATTTACAGCTTTATCTGTATGTTTTAAAGAACAAGCTTGAGCTACAAATTTTTCAGTTTGGCAGAACCAAACTTCAACAAGTAATTTGCTGAGAATGAAAGAAAAAACTGTTTTCTAATAAGTGATACTATTCTGAATGTGCAAGAACTTAATGCTGGGTACATTAAGTTTAAAAATGTCCATTTAAAAGTTATGTGGAATCATGTACACATGAAAGGAACACAGTTGAACAAAATCAAAACCACATTTATGAGACATGTACTACTTTATACAACAGCAGTATGAACTATGTTTAATTTTAGATACATGAGGATTCATTTTTAAAAACGTATTTCTTTGCTTATGCAAAGATTACAACATATCAAAACACTCTTTGTGCTAATAGGCATATAACATGAAGGATAAAATGCCTTATTTAACTAAGGACTATTTGTTTTCAAGTAAAACGTATTAAGATGTTCAAAGTTATAAAACAGAAAAGAAGTAAATGAAAAAAAGTACACATCAAGTTTGCTCATTAACATGGATATATCTTAAATGAGGAAATCAATCAAACCTTCCACTTTTTTTCTGATCCAATAAGCACATCATCTTAGGTCCTTATCATAAGGGTCTTATTTTGGAGGCATTATGGTGTGGAAGGTGGTTTGGGAGAAGAGCAGGATCCTTGACTATCAAAACTGGTTGCCCGGCCAGGTAGCTGAAAAACAGTAATTTTATTTGACCTCATGCAGAAAAAATACAATGGCTAATTGGTGCTTCTCTTTTTGGGGAGGAGGGTACTGGGGATTGAACTCAGGGGCACTGGACCACGAGCCATATCCCCAGCCCTTTGTTTTTTGTATTTTATTTAGAGACAGGGTCTCACTCAGTTGCTTAGAGCCTTGCTTTTGCTGAGACTAGCTTTGAACTTGCTGTCCTACTGCCTCAGCCTCCCAATCCACTGTACCTGGCTGATGCTTCCTTTTAATAGGAAATGTTTACCCATGACATGCAAGCCTCTGAAGAGAAGCTGTAGGAGCTCTCCTATCCTTCGGAACTCATCTTTTCAGGTCAAATGAGGGGAAACAAACATTTCAAAGAGATGTACACAGAGCATGCCATTTAGATGGGACCTGAAGCAGCACTGAACAGCAACTATTTATGAGTGCAGAATAATTTCACGTTTTGTGACAAGCTTTTAGTTCTTTTTATAAAATAATGATTTACTATAGTGACAGTAATTGCTGTGTAAGAGCAATAAGAAGTTCTAGACACAAAAGCCTGTGTTCCACTTGCTCTAAGGCAGGAGGTGATTTTTATGGGGGCAGTCAGAGAGCAGAAGCACTGCGCTAGGCAGGTGAGTGCTTTCCTTTCTAGATTCTTAGAACTGATGTTCACTGTTCAAACTTTAAAAAAAAAGCAAGATTAGAAGCAGGGAATGGACAGTAATTCTACAATAATCAGAAGAGACTTCAGACAGTAGCTACCACTGAAAGGAAATACAACCTAATACAAGCTATTCAGAGAATGCATCTGTATCTACTTCTGAAACTTTCCAGTTGGAAAATTGCATGTGACTGGGGTTCTCTCTGTGCATTTATCTTTTATGATTTACATTAAATTATGAAGTTAGGTAAAGACTCTAAACATTTATATATATATATATATATATATATATATATATATATATATATATATATATATAAACATATCTGTGATGACAGTTCTCCTCTATCGTCTGAGCATGCAGTGTTTATGTAATTTACCCTATAGTGTTTTATATAACACAGCCAAGGTCACATTTTTGTGACTAAACTGAGATTAGAACCTGGTCCCATTGATATATTTAATCAATAACAGTGTACAACCTCTCTTGTTCTCTTACCCAGTGTCTAGTGTGAAAACAAGAAACAGAATCTTATCCATGGGGAGATGACAGATATATCATTCATATACTATGTGGCTATTATGATGATTTTTTTAATTGAATGCAGAAATCCTTCACCTACTAGACATCCTTTTTGAACTTGCATTACCTCTCAATCCTATAAATGATTTACTTTGTAACTCTTCAGGAGGCTCACAAGAAAGAAAGTCATTCTCCCTAGCAACATTCACTGTATCAAGTAGACTGAAAACTATTTCATGGCTAGAAATCCCAACAAAAACGGATTAATGTAAGTATTACCAGTAGTTCTCATAGGAGCTAATAGTCTGCTAGCACTTTGTATTCAGTATTTACTTTCGCTGAGTTGATTACCATTACAGAACCACAGAAAAAACTCAGAGGTTCAAGGCACTTGTCCTAGGTTCCACAATAAATAATCACCCATTAAAGCTTGTGCCTTGATATTTTTAAAATCTGTGAGGTCTTCCTGACGAGAGCTGGGGGAGATATCCCTGACCCTTTTCACAGATGATATTACGTCTATTTAAGGATTCTTAAATGGAAGGGGACTTGGGGAAAGGTAGCTCTGTTCACCAAAATACAGTGTCCACTCAGTAATAAACATACTAGATTGCTCCACTGCTCACTGATGTGAATTTTCAGGCTGTGAGAAAATGACAGACTTGCAGTGCTTATGGGCTTATCAATTATGAAGCCCAGAAAGTCTAGTGGTTTCTATGATCCCACATGACACACAGAATTTTGAATACTAAATGTTAGAGACTGTGGGAGAAAAGCAAGAGGAATCTTTTTAAAAGGTGAATATATTAAAATGCCAGATATGGGTTAGCAAATAAATAATATTTAAACTGAAAAGATAAGAGCAGAAGTCAGGTGATCACAAGCTTACCTCCAGCAAGGGGTGCCAGTGTGTTATTGGTTTTCGGTGATAAGCCAGCATTTCATTCCAGTGGTCTCTCCCAAGACCCTCAGCGTCCAGTCCTGTTCTACACACTCCTATGACCTCGTTGTGTCCCACCCTATGATTTGTGGAATATTATACTTTCATTTCCAACTTTCAAAGGTAATGGAATCTCACACATCTTAAATGAATGGTAAACATAACAGTAACTAGATGCTGTCATTTTGCAAATTATAGTAGTCCCCTTATTTGCAGTTTCACTTTCTGTCATTTTAGTTACCCATGGACAACTGTGCTCTGAAAATACTAGATGGACAATTCCAGAAAAAAATAATAACTTCTAAAATAGTACATTGTTATAATTGCTCTATTTTATCATTAGTTGCTCTTATTCGCTTATACTGTACCTAATTTATAAATTAAACTATCATCTGTGTGTATGTATAGGAAAACACATTATATATAGTATGTATCAGGTTTAGTATTACCATTGGTTTCAGCAATCTGTGGAACATACTGTAAAATATTCCTCACAGATAATGGGGACTACTATATACCACTTCTAATCAAATGAAAAATTTTAAGCAAACAAAAACTTGCTAAGCAATTAACTAAATGATATGAACATTTAAGAAAATGAATTTGGATAAGAAGCACTCACAAATCATTTTAAGCTCTTCAATTTGAGCACATTTCACAATAATAACAATAGTGTGAATGGCAATGCCACTAGTTCCTTACATGTGTGAAACATTGCTTTTTCAGAAGCAGTCCTATTAAGTTTAAGTGATGTAAATCAAACCCTGTTCTTTTTACAAGGCTTACTGTCTTTATAATGACATTTAGGTTTTACACCATTGGTACGGTATTCATTTTCTTGCATAAAAGACCATATTTAATTGATTCTGAATGATATATCAGTGTATATTATTGCTTGTACTACAAATAAACAGAGCAGGGTTGTGTTCAGTTCCATTACATTTGATTGTTATTGCACAACAGAGAGCATGCTAGATGACATTCCTAGTTTTTATTCATGCCCTGCTTTCACAGGAACAAATAAAAAATAATAATATTTAACATTTTTGAAAGTTTATTATGTACCAGACAGTGTTCTAAGTAATTTAAATGTTCTGACCCACTTAACTCCCACCCCATGACTACAAATAACATTATTATTCTATTTTACAGATAATCTAAATGTCCAGAAGGTTGGGAGCTGGTGTGAGCTTACACACTTTGTAGGAGGCAGAAGCAGGAGCTGAATCTGGGCATTTGATTCAAGAATACATGTGGTAAGTTTCTTCTTGAGAACAGAATATGATTTAAAAGGTATTCCATATGGTTATTTTTACATATATCTCTGAAGACACTTTTCAATGGTTTATAATATTTCATTACTCTCTTTCTGTCACTAATGTAGATCTGGATATTTAGTATGATTTGTTTCATGTTGATATCCTTTAATATGAAGTTTCCCGAACAAGTATATTTCAGAAATATTTTTTTATTTTCCTGTTTATATATTATAAGGATCATTTAAAGTTGTGGATGACAAATGTTCAAGTGTATCTACTTGCACTCATTGCTGTCAGAAGTCAATGGAGGTAAGGATAAAACAAAATGGGGCTGCTGAGGAAAACATTTACAGTTTAGAATTTGAAATTTGAACTAGTTTTAATTTCTAAGTTACCACAGTTTTCTCCTTTGATACGGATTCAAATAGATGGTACAAATAATACTATTTTTCAGTGCCTTTTTTTTTGTAGTTCTGAGCCAGAGGATGGCACATTAATTTACCTACTTATATTTGATGTATTTTTAGGGTCCTGTTTACCATCATTTTCATAATACTATAAAAAGGACATTCTTTTTGTGTGTTTGTATATGTCCTGTACTACCATGTCATCCTTAAAACACAATAAATGTATTAGGGCTTATAAATAAATGTATTTCATGCTGAAAGTTTTGTAGTTTAAATCGTACAGCATTCCTTTCCAAAAATCTTATAAAAAGCAAAACAACGTATGCAGGAAGGGTCAAATGAGAGAATGAGCCTTTAGTGGAACGAGAGTTCAGAGGAAGAAGTTTTGTCTGCTGAGAAAGACTTCCAGGGTGCTAACATGAGCTGGGCTATGAAGCGTGGTTGGAACAAGGTACACACTATGAGGGACATCTCAGACTAAGGGAAGAGTGGAAGGGTGAAGGCAGGAGCTGCAGCAGGAAGAACCTTCAAAACTGTCCCGATACAGTTTATTTTGTGAAAGAGATGACTCTATGTGTGTGAGCTGGGGGAGCTGTCAATGAAGTAATGTTTTAAGATAGATGTGAACATATGGAATCTGTTTCCCAATGACCAGTATTCACTTTCCATGGTTCATGGTTCATGCCGAAGTTCCACAAATGGGCAAACTAAATCCCACTGGGATGACGTAATGAACCCTTTCACACAGCTAGTTAAGATCCAGCTCCACTGAGCATCACGATACTCACATTCTAGCCCCATTAGTAACACAAGCTATTGAGTGGACTCTGTTATTACTATAGAACGACTTTGAAGTAGTGCTGTCTATAAAGTGTTCCATACATACTATATCTAGACCCGTTCTCTCTCTAGCCTTAGGTGAACTTTAAGGATGAGTTCTTTACAGGGGAAAACCCCCCACAACTATAACGTAAGAAACAAGGAATTTCAAATGAATAATTATACCTTTTCCAACTTAAATTAACACTGTTATAGCAGAAAATAACCTGAAAAACTGAATTAGACCAGTATTGCACTGGTTGTGGCTATTCTGTATTGAGTGGAGGGTTCACGTACCTATCATAATCCATGACTGCAATGGAGAGGCTGACCTGGTCCACGTTCTCCGGAGGGATGTCAAAAATAATAGCCTCATTGTACACAGGGTTTAGAGTGTTTTTCTTTGTAGTTGTTTTTCTCTTTTTCAGTCTTCGACCCTCACACATCAGTGATACTTTGACATATGGATCTAGGAGTAGGAAGGTAATTTTAATAAAATGAAAGTATTCATATCAAGTATAAATAGAACTGTAATTCCTTTTTACTAAATAAGTGGTTTGTCAGGCCTTTTACTAGTTTAAAGTTCAAATAGATTGAATAGATTCAATAGATTCTCTAAGATTTCTTATTTTAAAGGTAAGCAATTTATAATGAATAAACTAAAAAGAACTAATTTGACCTCATTATTTTTAATACAGGAGAGAAAACACAGTAGTTTATCAAGAGCTAGTTCAGAATTCTAATGTGTCTTTTGACTACTGCTATTTTAGGGCACATATTTTTAGAAGTGATTTATAGGATGTAAACCAAACAAATAAGAATAAGGGTATTTAGATTTCTTCACCTCAGAATGATTTAGAATAAAAAAAACTAAGACCTGTGAAAGACTAGCAGCACTGTATCTGGACAAGTATATGAAATTACCATAAGTAGAAATTAGAAAGGAAAAACTAAATTATACTTAGAATTTTGATCAATGGCTAGTTAAGGTGGTAAAATTAGAAGAGTCATTTTAATCACAGTGTTGTTGCTTGATGAATTTGGATTGAAGAAGTGATCACTAAGGTGATTTAGTAGCTACATCATGGTATATAATAAAAAGCACTATTTATTCTAAGGTGGTCACAGGAAGGCTCTGATAGGACATTGTTTATGTGGGGTTTATTTGAAAGAGAAAATTTTAGGTTACTATATTGTTATGGGCCTAATGGAACAAATAATTGTGAACTAGTTTTTCCACAGATAACTTCATCTCTATTCTCTTACCCTTATCATCTTAAGTTTTTTTTTAAAAAAACGTTATGTGATTATAGAAAATTACACATTTTACAGCATTTCTAAGAAGCCTCATGGCTTTGAGAGCAGTACTGGTGTTAGGGTGAGCATGCTGGACAGGTAAAACAATCACAGCTGCACGCTCTCTCTTTTTGGCTACTGTACAGTGATAGTTCCATCATCTCTATTCTCTATCTCTAGAGTAATAAGTATTATTTCTTTAGAATAAGACAAACTGATGTTTGAAATATTAATTTACTGAGCAGGATGTGCTTTTTAAACTCTAGAAAAATATATTGAAATAGCTCAAAAGCATTTTCCTCAAGGAACAAAAAAGCTATTTTGCTGCTGGCAATAATGTATGTAATGACAAGGTAACAGGGCAGTGTTAATGTCTGTTTCCCATTTATTTTGATTTTTTCTTAAATAATAGGAAGCATGTTCCAAGAAAGAAGTTTGCTTCTGCGACACAGGATGAGCCCTCAGGCCTATGAACAATGGGAAAGAGGCATAGTTTATCCTTTGCATAGTTTTATCCCCACTGTGCCTTTGCCTGCATTTCTTCTCTTCTGACAAGGATAATTTACTGGCTCCATAGTTGATTCACAAGCCTGTTGTGAGGATTAATGAGGTGGTGCTCTCCAAGTACAGGCTCCTCCAAAGAAAACTTCATATAAATAAAAAAGTAATCTTGCACTTAATTACAACTTTAATGTTGTTTGCTTGTCTCAAAATTTGATCTCTTTTGATACATGGTAAAAAGAGAAGAGTAAACAATAATTTGCAGAGTACACTGTTTATCTTAAGTTCTTCTAATTTATTGACCCAAGAATTTTTCCCCCAAATAAATGTGGAATATATTTTCTATTCTGCCTTTATCTACATGCTATTTTTTGCAAATTAAAAAGAAAATGAATAGATAATTCATGTTCAAAAATCAAGATGTTATCGAGAGACATGCAATATCACAATCCCATCTGTCCCCATCCCTTTTCACCCATTGTTGTTGATGTACCAGTCCCTTATTTTTATGAAAATATTGGCAGTATGAATTTATGTTCTAAATTCTCCATCCTTGCACAGAAGTGAGCATAATTCCATATTTATTTTTGTGCCTTGTAGATCCTGGAGCTTTCCCCACACTAGAACTTGGAGTTATGTTATACTTTGTGTAATGTGAATTTAGCTTGTTTTTGTTCTGAAGAACTACAAAGTTATAGAACCTCCTCTCTAATATAATCCTTTGTTATATTTCCACTATGATTTCTTATTTCTATTTAATTCATCAAATGTTTACTGACATCCCCATTCATCCTTTATTGTTTTTCTTCCACAAATCTGTGCCGATTTTCACATATTATGTTAGAAATTATCCCCTGAGAGCTTCAGTGAATTAAGTGAAGGATAAAAGAGCATTATGTGGCTTTGCCTGTTTATTAAAGTCAGCACAAGAGAAATTTTTTCAAGAACTTCTTTACAAAATTCAGACAGCATTAATTTATCTTATTGTTTCTTGCAGTCCCTACAGATGCCCAAATTTTTGATTGGAAAAGTTGCAAGAATGCAAATGCAAATGATGGTCTTGGAATGTGGTTGTTTCTCTGAAGAGCAGGTGAGGGCAATAAGTTCAATCAAATATGTCTGCATATGGTAATCTAGTTGAAACTGGGGAAGTAGATTAAAAGTTAAGTATTTTTGAGATGGGACAAAATCAGTAGGGAAAGAAATGAAAACAAGAACTCAAGTTCAAAGTCATTCTACTTGAAAATAACTTCTAAAAGTTCATAATGATACTGTATATAAAAGAGGTGTTTTAGAATATTTTAATTTGTAATTTTATACTTTCATTGTACCCCATTATAAATAATTCAATAGCCATATATAATTTTAGATACATGGCAAATTTAATTTGGGAATGTGCCTTGGCCTCTGGTCAACTGTGTACATACCTGATGAGCCGGTGATATCCATTGCCTTCAGATTTCTGCACTTGATCACGGTCAATGTCATACGACCAGCGGTGGGCAAATAACAAAGGGAAAACATGATTTCACCCAGGTCTATGCTTTCCTAGGAAGGCAATCAGCAATGTTAGCAACTTCAAACACCAAATAAGGAAAACAAAATGAAATGGAAATGACGAATGAAAATTGCTTTAACCCATTATGTAGGGCTATGGATCTAATTGAATATTGGACTGTTGTTTTAAATAATTTTTATTGAGATATATAGATTAACATTGTAAGAAAGCAGTTCTGAATGGAGTAAGAAAAAAGTGATATTTCCACTTGCACTTACAACAAGAATCTCAAACTTAACACAGTTAAAACCAGACTGCTGATTCTGTCCATTCCCCCTCAGATTCCCAAACTGGACCCTCTGTTGGTCTTTCCATAGTCAACAAGTGTCATCACAATTTACCTGGAAGCTGGAGCCAAAAATCCATTAGTCACTGTTAATCTGCTCTTTCCCTCAATCCTACGTCCAACCCATGGGTGGGTCTTGTCTATGTTATTTACAAACTACATCATAAATCAGTGACTTTCTTTTCAGCTGTATCACAACCATTAAAACCACTATCGCCTCTTGCTAGGATTACTTTACTAGCATCTGAGACTGATCTTCCATTCCAGAGGTTCATCTTCACATAGTAGTCAAAGTGATAGTATATGAAATGCAACTCAAATTATGTCACTCTTCTGCTTCAGACTATCAAGAGCTCATTACTGTACCAGAATAAAATTCAAACTCCTTACTGACACATAGTGGGGTAACTGAGTCCTGCTGTGCCTGGGAAACTCTAGCTTCACTTTGTTAAGAGCATCCCTGCCACTCTTATCTGTGACTGTTTGGACAATACCCTACAAGATCTAACACAAAAGACCCATGTCATCTGGACTCTACCTTTCTCTACATCTTCCTTTCTTGGCTCCCTCTGTCCCCACCAGCTCTGGTACAGACACAAACTTTTTCTGTTACTCAACTGAATGATGTTTCTTACTGCTTTTGTGCATTTGCATTTTCTTGTTTCTTTGACAAGTCCTTTGTTTCCCTTGTGTATTTATCTGGATGACTTTTCACCAGGCTCCAACAGCCCCTCTTCTGTGAGGCATCCCCTTTTATCCATTCTAAGGCAGCATCCCTTGCCATCCCATTCCCACCCCACTCTCAGATCCTTCACATGTTTTCATAATGTTATCACTGACTGGAATCATCTTTAAAGTTCATTTTTTGCTTCCCTGACTTCTATACATAGCATCCAGGACAGCAGGATTCCTGGCTGTCTTATTTTCTACACCTTACTCAAAGGCATAGCTGGTTCTCAGTACCCATTCTTTGAAGGAACAAAGAAATTAATTAGTCAGAAAATAAGGCAGAATTGTCCATAGTAGTCTGATGCAGATTGTTGTGCTGTCTTTACTGCATTGATGGTGGACAAAAGAAAATGAATGTGGATGGTGAACAATTGCAGAATTGTGAAGAACTATGTACAGGATTCAATCAAATCTTTGCTGGTGAGACATTCTGAGGTAGGTCTAACATTTGTCAGACTTATTCTTACAGCTCAGGTTCTGACTTACATACTTTTGGTTTCTTTATTTGTGGTCTAGAAATAGAGCCTAGTAATTAAGAGCACAACTTCATCTGTAGTTAAAATTTGGGTTTGATCCCAATTTTCTTTCTTAACTATGAGATCCTAAGGAATTTAATAAAGCTTTGAATCTCTGAAATGCCACTTTCAAATTGGGGCTAGCATCCACGTCACAGGCTTTTTAAGCATTCAGTGAGATAATGTAAATAACACACAAGGCATTTCACACAGCATCTGGCATATGGTATCCTTGGATATTGTTTTGTTCTTCTGTATTGCTAGCATATAACAGGTGCTCAGCAGGTACTGGTACATGAAAAAAAAGTGGAAGCATTTATTATCTTTCAAGAAAATTAGTAAAAATAAGTATTCTAAAATAGAGGTACAGATATCTACCTGGGACTCCTCTGGATTGCTACAGATCAAAGATAGTGAACAAGGTCCCACAGAAGAAGGCTTGGGGGAACAGGAGGAGCATAGCCTCCTATTAAGGAGGCTCATTCTTTTTGCCACCTGAAAATAATTGAGCATTATTTGTCAAGTACAGTGGCAGCAGCTGTGGATATCAAGATGAACAAAGTATTATTCTGCCTGGAAGGTCTCTGTTGAGAAGGAAGAGAGCTATTTATTCAGAATCCCATTTTATCTAATGATTTTCTCCTTGTTTCTTCTCCTTAGGCTCAGTCTAAGGGTTGAAGCTTCCTGCCTGATAGGTGATCCTCTTCCCTCATTGGGCATTTCTCCTTTATTACTATCAAGAAGCACAGGAATATTTTGTTGCTATCTGATCAAATTAAGGAATGCCTCTGTGGATGCAGAGCATGATACCAAGTTCTACCAAGAATCATGGTGTAGGTGATGAGAGAGAAGCTAAGAAAAAAGGGTCATGATCACTGATATGAAATGCTTGGAATACAACAGGAAATGCAACACACAAAAACAGGGGAAAAAGTACACAAAGAGAGTCATCTAAAGGGATTGACATAACAGTCACATATCTGACTGATACAGTTTTGCACATTAAAAAATCTAGGAAAGTAATTTTTATACTTCTTTAGATATATTGCATGCTCATTGGCTAGAACAAAGAATTTTTACCATGTTCCAGTTCTCAAAGATCCTTTCTATACATTCAAGTGCAACACAATATTGACCATCTGATATTAACAGATACTGATAGAAAAATTAACTAACACCAATAAACAGAAAGCAGAAGCCGTGATTAAAGGGCATCTAAAAGGGCTCTGAATTGCCCTTATACCTAATGCATCAGTAAGAATTCACTTAAATATTCAAACTCTATGTACTCAAAAGAGTTTTCAGAAACTGGAATGAACTGGATGGTAAAAACTGATACATGGTATGCATGCATAATAACTGCACAAAAATTTAATTCTTCATTAGACTAAATTTTTCTTCAGGAAGCATGAATGTGAATGAACAATTGCTTATGTACTGAAAAGGGCAGAATATACTCTAAGGTAAATACCAATATTCTTAAACTTTTAAAAAATGGAAGCGATTTAAGAGATAATTGTGAGAGAATGAAATTAATGAAGTTAAGGGCTATATGACCTTAAAAAATGATCCTGTAACAGATGTAAGTCAGAATTTGAGACTGTGGCTATTGTGCTCCCAACTGCAGCGTGCACACATTCTCAGGACATAACTCTGAGCAGTCCCTGAATTGACAGTCCAGCTATAGGGAGCAGGGAGCTTTGCTTGTTGCCTCTTCTCACTTGGTCCCCAATACTGTGGTTTCTAAACCTACACTCAGTCACAGCAATCTGAACTCCTTGCTGCCCAATAAAGAACCCAGAAATAAGGCAAAAAGCCTCTGAACATACATCATAAATATTAGAAAATTATACAATAAGGGTTTTTAATATAAGGAGACTACATAATTTTTTAATCATCCATTTATTGTTATTTTAGACAAAACTGTAAAAAAGAATGTTTACTTGCTATATTAATCTGCAGCCATAAGTATACAGTCAACACTCAAGCATGAAATATGGAGAGGAAGAAATTAATAGAAACAATAAATAATAGCTATTTACAAATACTTATATATAAACACAAATAAAATAAATAGGTATAAATAAAATATATATAAATAAAAATAATTATCTGGAATTATCTTGTATTAAGAGTAACTGATGCTAATAAAACCTTAGTAAACTTAAACTCAGCATTTTATTACAAACTTAAACAGAAATTAATACTAAAATGATGGCTTCGAGTCATTAAGTTAAGACAATATATCCTGTATGTTAAATAGGTAGAGAAGAGTACACTATTTTCTGAGTTATTTTTATCCACATTTTAAAAAATGTTTAAAGTAGAAATTTCAGCTTAAAATGATAAAGGCTTTGAGCTTCTAAAGATTTTATTTATGTAAACCTGTATTTCATTACATAATTGTGACAGATTTTTTTGAGGGGTGGGTAGGTACCAGGGATTGAATTTAGAGGCACTCAGCCACATCCCCAGATCTATTTTGTATTTTTTGTTTAGAGACAGGGTCTCACTGAGTTACTTAGCTCCTCACTGTTGCTTAGGCTGGCTTTGAACTCATGATCATCCTGTCTCAGCCTCCTAAGCCACTGGGATTATAGGCATGTGCCACCACACTGGGCATTTGTGGCAGATTTTGTGTCAAAGTTTTTTTTTTTTTTTTTTTTTTTTTTGCAAAAATGTGGGGTGTGCCCATTATATCATTATTTGAAGTTTTTTTAAAATTGTGCTGATATTACTTTAAATCATGCATTTAGTAAAATGTCGTTGGTGAAAGATTATTATGCATGGAATACACATTAATATATGTGAATGTGGTGGCAGTGGTTTTGCAATGAAATATGATCATCTTATTTTCTTCAATATTATATAATCAGGAGTTTGCCAGGTTAGCCTTTGAAAAACTCTTGCATCTAACCTGCTATTTAAATGGATATAGTTCCATAAAATTTCTTTCTGGTAAGAAGATCTGTAACCCATCCTCATGGGCACTTATTTGGTTGATCATTTACAATGACAATCTTCTGAGTGCATGCTTGGCGAGGGGCTTCTGGAGAAAGGCTAAGAGGAGGCTGGGCTGGGCTGCACACACACTTGGTTTCTTCATCCCAGCTCTACCAACATGGAGCTGAGTAGATAAAGGTTATTTTCTGATGATTGACTTTAGTCAACCTCACAGTCAGTCAGTGATATGTTTTTCCCATGTACTATTTGTGTGTGTGTGTGTGTGTGTGTGTGTGGTGCTGGGGATTGAACCCAGGGTCTTGTGCATGCAAGGCAAGCACTCTATCGACTGAGCTATACCCCCAGCTCTCCTTTGTACTCTTTCTCCAAAATATAACTAAATATCACTGAAAATGTAAATTGGTATGCAAATGTTTGCACTGCCCATCCTATTTCAGGACTAACAGAACTAATAGTAAAGTCAAGCTGTAGAAACTGAAGGGATGGAGAGGAAGCC